CAAGGTTTGTTTACTGAGGGGTAGGTGGATGGAACAGAGAAGTACAGCTAATATAGATTTATCAGAGATGTGCTGTGTTGAAAAGATATTTGTGCAGTTCAAAGTTCAAGTAATGCAGCAACACTTTTATGTTAACTGATGTACAAATATGGCTGCTGCCAATTAGCTAATAACAAGATTCAGCAGATGAGGATGTGGGAAAGAGCCTTCTCAGTGACTGTTCCTAAACTTTGGGATTTGATCCAGAGAGAGGTTCAGTCTCTCTCCTCTTTACTTTTCTGATGATAGGCAAAGGCTTTCTTGCTTAAAAAGGCCTTTGGCCTTAAAATGACTGGGATGGGGTGATATGCAAATAAGTGTACTGCTTTTAGTATGCAACATATATTTTAATCATCTCTTAAAAGTAGTGTTTTAATTGGAGACATGATTTTATGAGCTGATCTAAAGATCCTAAAAGCACTATTTCCTACTTGATCTTGGAAGCTAAGCAAAGTCTGCTCTAGTTGGCACTTGGATGGAAGACCACCTATCAGGTGTGGTAGGCAATATTTCAGAGGAAGGAATTGGCAAAACCTTCTCTGAGCATTTCTTGCCTAAGAAACCCCTGTGAAACTTATGAGCTGCTATACATTGACAGGCGACTTGAAGGCTCGCACAAACATACACACGAGTCCAGCATTAGATGTTGGAATGTAATAGAGGTGTTTTGTTTGGGGCTACCTCAGACCTTGAAAAGTTCCTATTGTGCCATTTTTCATTCTAAAGGGAAAAAAAGATTATGATGTTCTGTAATTCACAATACTACAAATATGAACAATTACTTGTCTGAAAGTATAGCAATGCATGAATGTCCTTCTGTTCCAATCAGGTTATGAACAGGTGACTGGCCAAAACACTTAACATCTTGTAGATTGGAGGTCATGGTGCACTAAAGAACCACAAAAATATATGGAAAAACTTCTGGGCAAAATACATTAGTACAACACACCACTTTTTGAAACACAATTATTTGGTCCCTGTTGGTTCACATTTAAAACTGAATATGGAATGTGCGTATGTTGCTATCCTTAACAGTACTTTCTAAGCAGACATTCAAATGTCTGAACGATAATATGAAACAGTTTTCCCATGGGTGACTCTTCCAGCCTTTTAAATCAATTCTCTGCTATAGATAATTAATTCAGTTCTTCACACCATCCCATAGCTTTTGATCCATGTAATTTATTTATATCCAAGCTGGCTTAGGATAGTACAGGAATGGAGACTGGAAAGTCTTTCTGAAATACAATTCATGTGTCCGAATACCTGCCATGTTTGCCTGCATAGTTTTATTTCTTACTTTTATTGTTTGGGAGAAAGGACTTCCAAATAACTATTAAATATATGCCTCTTTATTTCTAAAAGTTCATCACACAAAGTTGGTAGAAGGAAAGTTATATTAAGGGCCAACCCACAGAGGCCAGTTTGGGCAGGATGTTGAGGACTAGCAACTATGGAGGGAAATGGGAAGAATGTGAAATAGAACACCCCAGCAGCCCTTGCTCAAGACCTCCATTGTCCATCTCTGCACACTTCAAACTTTTACTGAAGATGGAAATTGAACTGATAAAGGATTGTATCTCAATCACACTCTGGCATTGCTTGGCCATACATCACGGGGTCCCCTTAGCTCAACGTTGGGGTTAAGCAATCTGCAGCATTTACAGTGAACTCTGCAGAAAATGTTTCAGTTGTACTTCATGAAAAGGAAGTTGTACTTCATAAAAAGGAATGGCCTTTTTAATAAGCCTTGCATATGCTGATTTATTGGTAATTGCTTGATTTTTATACCTGTTTTATATGCCTATATTCCTGGGTTCATGTAAAAAAGTGTTGGGCGGAAAGGGGTCAGGAGTGGAAAAAGTTTAAGAAGCCCTGTCCTAGACTGTGATTCAGAAGATTTTTCGTATACCATGGATCACTTCCTCCTTTCCATTTGAGTAAGAGAAATATTACAATGTATAGGAGGTTAAGCCGGTTTCTGAGCCAGCTTGTGTAGCCTATGAATAAACCATCCATAATTGTGTGTGTTGGTTGTTATGTACTGCTTGTGTTATGATGGCAAAAGGGAATAAGATAACTTAATCTGTGCCCAGATAGGGCCTGTAAGCTTTTCACACTCCATGACTGAAGGAGGCCGCTAGTAAAAAAAACCAAGGCACCCTGGGGACAAAAGCTTAATCGGCAGGGTGTCAAATGCTGTGTGCATATTTCAGCATCTGAATAAGCAGCTGGATCCATTCTCAGAAATGCTGAGCTTACACTGCAAAGTCAGCATGAAAGCGTATTCACTTTAAAGACTTTAATATTACAGGTTCTTGTTACTCTCAATATATCTATGGCATAGGAAGATTCCAGTCTGAATAGAGAGATTCAAGCAGCCTCATCCATACTGCTTGAAATGAGTGCAGGTATATGTGAACATTTACCACAATTCTTCCTAGCTTTATGTGGTGTAGCAGCTTGCATATGTTAAATGAATTGATGAGCCAGGAAAGTCCTCAGTTCAAATCTTACCTCGTTTGTGGACTCACTGGAAGGGCCATGATCACGTCAACGTATCCTAGATCCCATCTATATGAAGGTCACATTAGTAGTAGGACTGGGCTGAAATGATTTCTACCATTTTTGCTGTGAAACAATGCTCTGTGTGGGTTAGTTGAAAACAGCCACCAAAGAAATGTTTTTGTGTGATGGAGAACCAACAGATTGCATGGGGGGCACCAGAATTACTCGATAACTTTCTTTCAAAAAGAGAAAGTCTAGATGTCTGCATGCAGTTTATTTTAAAGTTGCTGGATGGATACTGTCTATCATTTCCTTCTAGGGAAATAATGAAATAGAAGATGGCCTCACTTGCTGGAAGTTCTGAAAGAAAAAAGATGGTACAGTAAAACAAGATCCACTTAGTACAGATCTCTCATCAAAAAAAGTCCGGGTGTCCCCTGGGCAACATCCTTGCAGACGGCCAATTCTCTCTCACATGGAAGTGACTTGCAGTTTCTCAGGTCACTCCTGACACACACACACACACACACACACAGACTCCATGTTCCTATGTCCTGCCCAGATTTTGGTGCTCCTTTAACTTAATGAAATAGAGAGTATCATTTTTACTCCCACCAAAATAACATTGGCCCAGTTCCTATAGCGTTATGAAGATAAGCAAAAAAAGCAAACAGAAGACAGGAATAACACTGACAGTAATTTGATAACTGGAAATTTAGGATGAACCTGATCAACAAAATTCTACAGACACAAATGCAAGTGGTCTGCCTTTTTGTTGTTGTTGGTGACATAAGCACATATAAAAATGGGCATTTGAACTGCAACTGATTGTAGATTGAACATGAACTAGTAATGTGGACTGGCTGCAAAAAAGTCAAATATGATCTTACCGGAACCAAAATTTCCAAGTCACAAAACTCATGGATCTACCGTATTCCCATCAGACAGGTGTCCAGCCCTGACCATCATATTTCAAGAAAGGTTTGAATTGGTCCAGAGGTGGCTCAGTGATGTGAAAAGCAAGTCCTCTGAAATAACTCCAGAAACTTGTAAAAAAGAAACTGAAGAAAAGAATGGTCGCATTTTTGAAATGCCTGGTGGGCTGTAGCATAATGAAAGATAAAGACTATTCTTCTATTATTACAGAGATCATAACTAGGCGTAATGTAACAGGAGAATAATATCCAGTTGAACATTTTGAAGAATTCTTTGCATTTAGTTTTGCACTTATGTTTTCCTTTCTTTGTTTTGAATTCCACTTGTATCACATGATGAGAATGCATTTGGGGGGTGGGGGGGGGCAGATTCATAAGCACCTCTGGGTCCATTCAGTAAAGTTAAATATGTGTTTCTTGTCATCTGATTGGAGGTGATAACAAAATAGAAGGGGGGGGGGGCAGTGGGCTTTAATTCCCCCAGTTATGCCAGGGCAAAGTTTAATGTCAAGGGAATGGGGATTATTAACTCACTTTAACTTTAAACTCTTGAATGTGGGAGGGTGCCGTACCAGTTGTTATGTGATCAGGGAAAAGCAAGAGTTTTAATGATGCCAGTAATCAAAATGTAAAATAATTACTTCCCATTTGGAGAAGTAAGAAATGTGCTTATAAAAAAATAAAAAGTCAATAATTTTGCTGTGCTGCAAGTTTATAAAAGAAAGAATAAAAGAAAGTATAAAATGAAATCAATTATCATAGGAGGAGCTGGTCTGGTGTAGTTGAAATCCTCGCTCGAGCTGTGGCAAGTCACTGGGTGACTTTGGAAAATCACTCTAAGAGGAAGGGAATATGCAACCTCCTTTGAATAAATCATGCTAAGAAAATCCTGTAAATTGTATTTGCCTTGAGGGCACACAGCAACAACAAAATTATAATCTTGGGTGGGGGTTCTGTTCATAGTTTCTAACTTGCATAGTGCAGGTATAGCAAACCTACAGTGAACAAGATGTGATCTGATCTCTTGCAGAAACAAAATCTCTGCATTTGCATAACAGTTAATTTCTTGTAAACCTTATCTTGATTGCCACTAAAGTTGATGTTTATAAAACTTCAGTAAAAATATCACTCTGATGACAAATTGCTATATGTTTGTAAAATGGTTGAAAAGAACCCACTTCTGGAATGAAGAATTTATGGCACTCTATATGCTGACCTTCAGTTTCCCCTCAGCCTCAAACAATGTGGCCAGGGATGATGGAAATACATCCCACAACATATGGAGGGCTACAATTTCCATACAGCTAATCTCTTCTAGGTGTACTCTGTGTTGATATTATTGCATTACTGAGTCAGTGTTGCTTTTGCACCACTTGCAATCATTCATGCAAAGTTATTCTTACTTTCTCTGAAGCACAGTGCACAATTTGTAGTGTGTGAGAATATTTATGCCATATAGGTAAGACCACAAGTACATCCTGAATTGTTATGTCTTAATCCATATAATTGATTTCTCAGGATTTTAGGTGTTTCTTAGGAAGACTTGACAGACATAAAAATACAAACCATGGCGTCACGCATTGGTCTACGGATGCAGCTTATGAGAGAACAGGTGCAACAAGAGGAGCAACGGGAGCGCATGCAACAACAGGCAATGATGCATTACATGCAGCAACAGCAGCAGATGCCAATGGCTCCAACTCCTGCCATCAACACACCAGTTCATTTCCAGTCACCACCCCCTGTTCCAGGAGAAGTCTTAAAGGTACAGTTGGCCCTGACTAATGGGAATGTCAAACAAAATTAACCATTGACATATGAAAAATTGCGAAAGTCAACATGCTTTGCTTACAAGTCAACCAATATCTTACAGACATTTCAAACAAACAAAGCTGAGAATTCCTTATTCCTTTAGAAAATACATACCTTACAGCTCATTATGAATTAGTGTTGCCCTTTTCATTAAGGATAGTAATTATTTTTCAAAGAAATTACTGAGATTTACATCCAGACAAAGAAAGCATATTTTCTAAAACAAGTCAGTTGATGTGATGAAGATTTCTTAACATTTTAAAATTATCAGACTTGTCATAGTTTCCAATGACAGCTAGTTTGGTAACAGCAACTCAGCTAGATTCCTTGGTCAAAATAATTCTGGGAACAATGCTAAATCATGATGTGCCACAGGTCTGCTGAGAACTAAACAACCATTATTTGAAGCAATAGTAAAACTTTGGGTGCTTCTGGAAAGAGAGAAATAGAACCTGTCAACCAGTTCTCATTTAAAAGTAAGGTTACTGTCACCCCAAAATTATATATAAAAATGAGCAGCCTAAATACTTCTGACTTTTGTGTGAGATTCTTTAAGCTTCAAAAGCGGTGGAGGACATAGTTTATTCACCTCAGTCTGAAGGTTATTATTGATTAGGGAACAAATTGATAACTTCTGTCTCTTAACCAGAGATTTGTGTTTGAGCTGTCATTGTGCGTAGCACTTTACAGGGTTGCCAATAAGGTCTTTGTCTCCAAGGAGTTCACAATCTGAGGTGAACAGCAAAGAAATCAAATATGACCGGGAAGAATGCCAGACCCATGCCATTTACATGGGTTTGAAATCTGGTTGCAGTTGATGAACCAGTCAGTCATAGGTCTGTAAGTCAGTATGCTATGGAGAAAAAAAGCAGCTGTTTTCCCCTGAAGACATATTCATTTGAAAATTATTGCCATTTTTCATAGAGATATCTCTCTGTTTCTTCTTTGCTGACTTTTTAATGGTTACTTTTAGGTTCAGTCTTTCCTGGAGAACCCTACCACGTACCACCTGCAACGGTCACGGGACAAGAAGGTCCAAGATTTCTTGTCTGAAACCTATGGGAACAAGTTTGCTCCGCTGCTCAGTGCCCCTTCTCCCAAGCCTCCCCCTTCTGCCTCACCTGGTGTGAGGCCAACACCGAGCCATGTCTTGTCCTCTTCTGCAGGCAATAGCACCCCCAACAGTCCGATGGCAATGCTCAACATTGGCTCTAACCCAGAAAGGGAGGTGTGTATATGTTACAATCTTAGAAACAGGAGGACTTTTTTGAGAGGGTAGTGGTAGATATTTTCAAAGCTCTTACTTGTGTACCTTACCTCTGATACCTCTGTTTGTGAGGGAGTCTGCATCTCTTTCAGGAGGCACAGCTCCTCTCAGACAGATGCTTACATGGGATTATTTCAGCCCATCAGAAAAGGATAGTACAGAAAGCTGGACTTTCTATTCTGAGCAAGTTTATAGAAGTCTTCAGTGAGTTTCCAGCAGTGAAAATTCAAATATGCAGCCCTCCTCATGCAATGAGAAGTGGTAAAGTCCTCACAGAGCAGTGCCACATGATTCTTCTGGTTGCATAACTTAATGTTTGGGAGGTGGGGAAAGGAAATTTGATTTTCACTCCATAGTGTAGGAAACGATGTATAAATACTTGTGGTGGAGCTTTTGTCCCATTTCTTTTCTGGCAAGGGATGTTGTAGAGAAATGTAAAAAGAAGCTGTCTCCATTAGATTCTCAAATGTATCATTGTGTTACCCATATCTGTGCACAAGCATGCATTTGAAAAATGGGGAAAACTCTTCTGTACTACAAGATTTATGTTAATTTTGCGAAAACAGAATAACTAATTTACTTGTCTGGATACTTCTTTCAGATAGATGACGTTATTGAAGATATAATGCAGCTGACAACAACAGTGGGATGTATTAACCCAGAAATTCATATGCCTAATACTGTGAGTGTTTCTGGTTTTGCCTTTTGCTGTTTTGTCCCTCTCAGCAAAAGTTGTTTCTGAGGTTACCTGTTGCTGCTTATTTGGCTTTTGCTTCCTTTTTTTGCACCATGAAGGCCAATGGTCTTAAGCCAGATGAGCTGTAAGTTGCAATTTAGATATAGAGGATAGATTCACTCTTTGATTTCTTTCCCAGCAAGTGGTTCGGAGCCATCATTTGGCAGGAATTAAAGAGATCTTTGATCTCATTCTAGCATTTTGAAATCTTTCCTGAGGCAAAATCTTGCATTGCTGTGTGCGTGTGTATACAAGAGCTATATGGATAGTGGTTGTGCATCATAGGTACTTCCTGGCTTGGGAAAAGGGCAACAGTTAGCTATTAACAGTTTGCCTTCCTATTTTGTTCTGATACTCATACATTTTACTCTGGCACAAAATCTCTCCACAAGGAAGCAGTATTTCTGCATCTGATAGCATATAAGTTGCCTGGACATCTGAAACAGATGATTCATCTATCATATTTGAAACAGGCTGCAAGTTTCATTTTGCCTTTTCTGTGCTAAGATAAAATTTTGTTTCCACATCTTTGTTTTGTAGCTGCCTCTCTCCAGCAGCCATATGAATGTGTATAGCAGTGACCTTCCAATGACTCCCTCTGTGGTGGGCATGACCAGCAGCTCCTGTCCTGCTGATCTCACCCAGAAAAGAGACTACACAGGTAATTTATGATGGCCTTCTGAGTGAGTTGTTGGGGAAATACTCAGTTCCAGCTTTGCCTTAGAGTGCAAGTGAGGGGGTGTTTATGCGTATGTATTTATAAGTGCTTCAGTCTTTTCTTGACTGGCTACTTTAATTTGATCTTTGTCTCTAGATGCTGAGAGCCGTGCTTTGGCTAAGGAACGGCAGAAGAAGGACAATCACAATCTAAGTAAGTTTTAGCTGGAACAAATTCCCAATTTCTCTTCAGGGCTTCCTATTCTATTCCTTCTTATCCTTTCTTGTTGGGATGTCAACAGTGTCTCCTATGCACCAGTATCAAAATGTAAAATTATACTTCCCTTTTTTCTTTTTTCAAGGTGAAATGTGTTAGGCAATTTTAAATTTCCCTTTCTTTGTCTTTCTCTTTATAGTTGAAAGAAGACGAAGGTTTAACATCAATGATCGCATTAAAGAACTAGGGATGCTCATCCCAAAAGCTGGAGATCTGTAAGTTCTGGTAAAAGCTCCATGTTTTCTTGGTACTAGAATCCATGCTGAGAAAGAAACAATGGAAAGGGGGTTATCTCATGTTATGTTTTGTATATAACACAATTAGCTGAGATCCTGCAGCAGACGTATTGCCACTATGTCATGGCTATGTTCTGTCTCCCAATCTGATTGTCCAAATCCACCTTATAATTCAGCCAGCCACACTGATGGGTGGCAATCTCTGGTGCTGGTGAGCAGGGCACTGAAGGATGATATGTCCAGTCCTCCTTCCTTTCAGTGAGCCACACTTCACCACGGAGTTACAACAGGACCCCGTAGGGACTCCTGCTTCTGACTGTGGCACCACTGCTCACTAGTGAGAGGGAGCTGATGTGTCATCCTGCAGAATTCTCAGTGTGATTGGCTAATTTCTATTTAAAAATGTAAGAGTAGATCAAATTAGTAAACAGTAGTACATAAAACTTTATCTTTAGGGCCAAACTCGGCATTGTGGTCCTGTATCAGTGGTTCTGAACCTGTGGGTTCCCAGGTGTTTTGGCTGACAACTCCCAGAAATCCCAACCAGTTTACCAGCTGTTAGGATTTCTGGGAGTTGAACACTAAAACATCTGGGGAGCCACAGGTTGTGAACCACTGCCCTATATTCATGTGTCAAGTTTCAGTTGCAGCTGAATCGCTACAAAGCTGAGCTGGGAAATAGTGTAGATCGTCAAAGTCTTGGAGTGGCAGGTTTCTTTTTATGCCTGTTACCCTTTTGCCAAACTGATATTTCAAACCCATTTTATTTCACTGGATCCTTGTGACAAGAAGCAACCTTTAATATTTAAAAAGCCAAAGAAGTCATTTTTGAAAAGAGAAATCGGATAGGAAACAAGAATAGAACACAGGATAGTTTCTCTGACTATCATGTCCTGTGGCAGCTAAATGGAATGGCAGCCTAAGAACATCAACACCTGGCACATCTGGAGAAGTAAACTACAGTCATAGCACTGGAAATCAAAATAACCAATGGTGCCTCAATTTGTGGCACATGACTAATCAATTATATCAACTCAATGCTGACATGTAGCCACTGACAGATTGCCCCTGAGGGAATGTGGACTTCAATAATTCTAAGGTTACACAACTCATTAAAAGGGATTTTTTCTTGGTTTTGAGACAAGTAAATGATTTGACATATTTGACATTTCAACTCCTCCATCCATTTGCTTGAAAACAGCCAGCTGTAAACCTGCTGTCAATCTGGAAGTAATTCTTTCAGTTGCTAATGTTCTGCTTGTTCCCATGTCTCAACATCAGGGATGTGCGCTGGAACAAAGGGACAATCCTGAAAGCCTCTGTTGATTATATCAGGAGGATGCAGAAAGACCTGCAGAGGTCACGAGATCTTGAGAATCACTCTCGACGCCTGGAAATGGCAAACAAGCAGCTCTGGCTCCGCATACAGGTAGATTCCCCCTTTTTTGCTCTCTGCTTACAACTCTCTAAGTCACCTTCACATGCTTGTTGAAACTGTATTTTTGTTATCCCATCATTAAAGATATACCAGCTTCCATCCATTGCTCACCTGTCTCATATCCTCTTGCCCCGAGAAAACATGAAAGAGAGCTTCACATCCCTGACTACAGAGCACATTCTTTCTCTGTCTTTTACTCATGTACTCCTTTTGTTGATCATACTGGTTGCTATATGCATTTGACAATGTTTTTCCAAAGATCATGTCATATGCTTATTTAGCTCACTAACCAGGTGCAGGGTGCTAAAGAAGCACAAATATCCCATAAAACTACATTATCTCAATAATTTGTATTTAAAAAGTTTATGTCAGTTTTTATTTCAAAGCTATGACATTCAGTATGAAGTTGGCTGCAATTTATTGATTTTTTTCCTTGTGTCGGGAGTGACTTGAGAAACTGCAAGTCACTTCTGGTGTGAGAGAATTGGCCATCTGCAAAGATGTTGCCCAGGGGACGTCTGGATGTTTGATGTTTTACCATACTTGTGAGAGGCTTCTCTCATGTCCCCGCATGGGGAGCTGGAGCAGACAGAGGGAGCTCAACCCACTCTCCCTGGATTTGAACTGCTGACCTGTCAGTCAGCAGTCTTACCAGCACAAGAGTTTAACTTATTGTGCCATCGGGGGCTCCAAATTTATTGATGACCAAAATATAAATTAAAAACAATAGCAGCAATAGAGTTGCTGCTAGAAAAAAAAATACTGCATTATAAATAAGTTGGTCCTGTGAAAGCTCCTGCATGCTGTCTTCAAAAGCAATTATTTGTTGTGTGTGCTTAGGTTTGCCTGTATGCAGGTATTATACAGACTGGATTCCTGTTGTTTCTGCATTCTTGTCTTAGTGCAGCCCTGTCTGCATTGTGCTCACTCTTACTGTTTGTGTAAGAACTCTTTCTCTGTATGCCTTCTTAAAGGAGCTGGAAATGCAGGCTCGGGTCCATGGGCTGCCAACCACTTCTCCCTCTGGCATGAACATGGCTGAACTAGCTCAGCAGGTGGTCAAGCAAGAAACCTCTGGGGATGAGGGGACACCAGAGATCCAGCAGCAGAAGCAGCAGCATCAGCAGCCACTGCCCCCTCAGCCACCGCCACAACTCCATCCTGAGCTGGAAGCTCAACAACACCAGCCTCACTTTGCTCCTCCACAGTCTCCTTACGATCAGCTGGACTTTACCCATAGCCTGAGCTTTGATGACAACTCTAGAGGCTTCCATGACTCTCTGGATCCCAGCCAAAGTGTCTCCTTCCCCTCTTTGTCCAAGAAGGAGCTAGACTTGATGCTAATGGAGGATACCATGCTGCCTGTGGCTCCTGACCCCTTGTTTTCTGCCGTCTCCCCAGAAGCCTCAAAGGCCAGCAGTCGCCGAAGCAGTTTCAGCATGGAGGACACAGACATGCTGTGATTTGAAACCTCCAAGGCAGAACAGACTAAGAGTCAAATATTAGTTCTCTGAGATTTCTCCTTCTGCCTTATCCTTGCAGACTTATTTAGGGGCTTGTGAGACTAAACAGATATGCATCCTAAAATATGGACAGTTTGTGTGCAGGTGAGGAGGATCCTCAGCACAAAGTTCACCCCTTCCCCCCAGTCCTGATTTGCCAAAAACTGAGAAATCCTGCTTCATTGGTCATGATCGGAGGATATTCAGGATTTGCAACTCCTTTCCAGACTGTCTGATTCCTGTGCCTTCATACTGCATGTCCTGCAAAGCCACTTTGCCTTTTTTTGTTGCTTTGTTTTTCTTTGCTGCAATGTGATTTTGGTGCAGAAGGCCAAGCAGTAGTTCATCCTGTCTAAAAAGCAGGTTTGAACAAGGTTTGGTGCTAATTTGTGCTCACAGACCATCATGGCCCATCTGTGTCCCTCACTGTTCCCTTCCCAATGCCTCTTGAGCTACAATCACAAGGTTACACACCACTTCAGGGATGCTCCTATATTGGGGCTTCTTTCCTTATATGAGTCAGGGATGCCCAGTAGACTCTGCAAAAGGGAGAGTGTGGTGCTACTGCCAAAACATGTGTCCTGAGTAGGTGGTGATTTTGTATTTATCCTTTTGAGGGATAAAGAGATAGTGTAGAACACCTTTAAACCTAGAAGCCCAAATGCAGCACTGTAGCCTTAATGAAGTTACTGCAATTTTCCAAAGTAATATTCCATTAGGCTTTGAAGTAAATCTCTAATCCAGAGTTTTCCAAACATTTCATGTTGGTAACACACATTTTAGACTCACTTACTTACTTTTACTTAGACATGCATCATTTCACAATACAATAATTCAGTTTTACTAGCAAACTGGAGGTTAAACCAACCTCTTACAAGAGATACGGACACATACATAAATTGTAATGACAGAATGTATAGGGACACAACATTTCATGAAAAACTTTCATATTTTTGTAAAATATACATTTCCAGGATTTTTGTCATTTCTTGTTATGATGGTGTGACGCACGTATCCACTGTGGCCAATAAACTAATGTTTGGAAAACTCTGCTCTAATCTGACACCCTACCCCAAAGCTCAGGTCACTGCAGTTTATTTTTGGCTTTGACCCTTCCTCACTTTTTCTAAATTTCTTTTGGCTAGAACCCTGTGTAGCCTCATAGGTATATGTGGGGCAGGATGGCTTTGTGTGCACACCTGCAGTCATTTAGCAGCAGCCTTTTACCATGGAGCATTATCAGGTTGTTTCGCCATTTAAAATCATGCTTGGTTTCATTAAAAAAGCCTATTGCATGTCTGCTCCTTTTGTACCACTGCACACAGGATCTCACTCTTTATTCAGATGAGGTTTCTATATAATGTACTGAGGACCTATCCGATCAGGTTAACTAGGAGCCATCTTTCTTTCAGCTGATTCTGTTGCTCTATAGGCTGTATGTTTTATCTGTAGCTTTGCTACAAAGAAAAACACATTTCTTTAGACCAGAGGTTCTCAACCTGTGGGTTCCCCGATGTTTTGGCCTACAACTCCCAGAAATCCCAGCCAGTTTACCAGCTGTTAGGATTTCTGGGAGTTGAAGGTCAAAACATCTGGTGACCCACAACTTACAAATGCTAGCCTTTCAGCAAAGCTTTCCTTGTTCTTCATTTGCATTAGTTGATCTAAAATACTGTATATTCAGCTAAGCTAATAGTGAAGTTTTGAGGGCAGTTGCATACATACACTTGTTTATGCTAACTGTCTGGATTTTGAGATCTGTGTGATGCTTTCATTATACATATACCCGAGGTCCTTATTTTCAATACCATTTACAAAGCAATACATCATTGAAATGCAGCTACTTTTCTGTGATGTGGTATATTTAACTAGTAAACATCAATTTGAAGTTTTGCACATCTGTCTGTGGAGGGAAACACCTAGCATACCTGCCCTTGGATATCCTATTCTGCGCTCTCTCATATGTAGCCTAAATGAAAGTGGAGACCATGCCCAACAGTGCTGGTGATATGTTACTGCTCTGAATTATTTCATACCGTCTTATGAATAATTTTGTATCCCTTGTCTCCTAGAACTGATAAAATCTGTACATGGTTCTTTTTGCAGTCTAAAATCCCTTCATCTCTACCATGTAACCTGGGAGTTTGAGAATGAATGGATTTCATTCCTGCCATCAGTTTCTCAGGGCATTTTAGATCAGGACTTAAGGATACCTCCACTTAGCAATTGGTGGTACTTTGCAATACCAGCCTGGAAACTTTGGGTGAATTGTTTTCTCTGCAGTTCCTAATAATCCTTTTTGGTAGCTCAGGAAAATCAAAACGCCTGGACCTCTTTATTTCCAGCCTTGGTTGTGTTTGCATCAGGTAGCTGTCAGAAGCTTGGCCTGAAGTTTTTTGACAAGAACTTTGTTCAGTGCCTAAGAGTAACTAATCAAGGGATAGTTCTTATGGGAAATGTATATTTTTGATTGTTGAATGATCTCAGGGTAGACAGTGGCCCATCTTCAGTTTGAGCACTTTTGGTATCATCAAGTTTGTGAAATGTTAGGCAGACAAAGTCTCCTATTGAGGGTCTTGAGATGGTTGGTTTGCATTGGACCTGCTTGAATGTGAATTATCTGTTTCAAATACTAGAATATAGAATATTATTGCTTTTTAAAGGAATCAGTAAGATCCAGTCCAATGGGGACGGAGGGAATAGTGTTTGTGCATTTGGGTAAAGGCTAAATGTGATACTGTTTGGATTGTTATATTAAGTTTGTTAGTCTAGTCCTTTTGAACTTGGAGCAAGTATGCCTTAAGGTCTTGCTAATGCTTATAGAATCTATGAATTTCAACCTGTGGAGAAGGGAGAATGTCTTTCTCCACCCATTTAACATCAGAATCCTGCTCAGCCTGATTATTGAAGGGGTTAAGAACAGATGCTTCATCTCAGGGTTGGCATACATGGAAGCCTAGTGGGATTCATTAGCCTCCCAAGTAATCTTGGAAAATGCAACCCACAACATACTCCCCACAAGAAAAAATAAAAAACACTTCCCCCCTAAATGTCCACAAATTATTTCTAGGGGGCATGTGGGCATTTTTGCCATGCTTGTAGTTCCTCTGAGCCATTTTAGAAGTTACTTCCTGTTTCAGAAAAGTGCCTCTCTTGCACACAGATGGGCCTAGGTTTGATCCCTGGCATCACCAGTTAAAGACCTATCAGGTAAAGGGAAGGACCTCTGCCTGAGAAACTAGGAAGCTGCTAATGGGTATGCTTGTGCCTTCAAGTCACCAGTCAACTTATGGAAATCTCATAGGGCTTTCTTAGGCAAGGTGATTTTGCCAGTTCCTTCCTCTGAAATATAGTCTACAGCACCAGGTGTTTCTTGACAGTATCCTAACCATGTACTAATCTGTATTGACTCTGCTTACCATCCAAGACCAGTTGAAATACTGGGATAGATGGACTAATGCTCTATCCTGGCATAAGGCAGTTCCTTACATGGTCAGTCCTTTGTGTCCAGTGATTCAGCCATTCATGGCTTGAAAATATGCCAAACCAAACTTGATTTATCATTTTATACATGGGATACCATTTTCTACACCATTGTATATAATGGGACTTAGGCACCCACAGAGTTTGAATCCCCGGAGGTCCTAGAACTAAACCCCAGCAGATACTAAAAAAGAATGACTACTTTGTGAAACAAATCTTATTTATTTATTTTATTTTGGATTCTGGAACTAGGAATCATTAGCTGTAGAATAATCAAAATACTTTTTTCAGGTAAAACAGTGACTTCAGTGATCCATCGTGGTTCTGGGAACTGTAGCTGTTTAAAATCTTTCTGTACAATTTACATGATATTCTTGCAATTCCATTCTTCCCACAATTACAAGGAGGCAATGCTCTTTCAACATTGATTAGAAACAAGGCAGGAACATGCCTTACTAGAGGAGGAAAATGTATGCAGGGGAGAGAGAGATCTTAGGGACAAGTGGAAGACATGGTTTCCAAAGATTTTTTTTAAAGAGTCGGAGAAATAAAATATCTACCAAAGAGTAGAGTATGAGTTTTCTACTTGGATGTGAAGTCTCCAATGAAGGCAAGTTTCTGTAGGCTATATTTCAGAGGAAGAATTTGGCAAAGCCAAATTTGACTATTCATTATCTAAGAAAACTGTGTACATGGTTACCTTAAGTAGTTGACAGGTGACTTGAAGGTGCACACACACACACACACACAGCTTTGTGGAATGTGCTAGAGAAATTCCCAACATAAAAAGACTAGGTGAGCATTCCTCTACTGAAATAGCAGAGTGCATAGGTTTGAAAAAATGGAAACAATGATCATGGCATATATGTTATAATGTTATAAAATATTATAAAGATGGAGAGGTAAAATTAATTCATTAGACAGTCATTAATCACAACAGAAACAAAATCCACCTGAAGCCTTTGTTAACTTTGCAAGCAGCAGTCTCAAAACCAATGGATAAAAGCTGCTTCAGAGGAAGATGGCACTTTTTTCTTCTTCTAGCTAGTTTCTGAATTTCATTAACAATGGCATTCAGGTGGGAGCATGTGTTGCATCAAACATGAATGTTGCAAATTGCTGGTTTTGATAAAAACTGTGTCCTGTGTTGGGTGAAATCTGCTCCAAGTTCATCCAAGGGAGTTTTTTAAATCTGATTTTATTTGTAGTGTTTTCACAACATAAAATGTTTTTTCTAAGATAATGGTATTCTGAAAATATTTTAATCCTTTTATGACAAAGCACCTCCTGTGAACTCATGCACCACAAATACCCATTTCAACTTTAAACTTGTTCCTATTTCCCAACTTAATTCTATTTCATTTTAAGTTGAAAAAAGACAATTTTAAAACTGTGAAACCAGTTATACTGTGTGATGCCGTATAATGCATTTGAACATTTAAGATGTTGAATAACTGAGAAAGCTGTGAATGAATTAGGTGCTGTTGAACTGCTCAGTATGATCAAGAGATCTTATAGAAGACACACTTTCCCTTTAGCCACAGCGATGACCATTGTTGCAGTCATTCACATTGCACAGATGTTGTATGCAGCATACATGCAATAATATCACGGGCACTTTCCTCTGGCATCATTACAGCCAGTGATACAAGTTTCTCCTCTTCTTCCCAAAGACATTTTTAGATATTTCATACAATGCCATTTTGTATTTCCTCCTTATGAGTTTTGTATGCCTTTAGGAGTGAGCAGCCATGGCCTTCCAGAGTGTTTTGGCCTACCATTCCAATTAGCCCCAGTGTATATACCCAGTGATGAGGGCTGATTAAATGTGAAGTCCAGAAACATTTGGAGGGCCACAGTTGCTCATTCCTGGTTTAGATGTTGTGCACAACCACGCTTGAGCAGGGCAGCACACATCCACCCAGATATCTGTAAATATATATATTTGCACAGTAAGGCTACCTCTGCCTCTCTCCACTATGTGGGGATGGAGTATTGTAACAATGGTGCTGGATAGGAGCTTGCATTACTTCGGAATTTACAGCAATAAGCATTATTTTGCCCATCTGGAAAGGCACATGTAGAGATGCAGGCATGTGAGGCATTCTAATTGATTCTTAATTTTGATTTTGCATTATAATGGCTGTTGCAAAATTGGAATGTTATTCTAAAGGTGGGTGGATGGAAATATACATACATAAACAGAGACCGGAAGGCTATTGTTAGTCCTGACTAAAGAAGAGCCATTAAATCAGGTGATTCCTTCAGTTGGTCTATTCTAGTTGGGATTAAACTGACAGGATGCCAGCTACAGAGTTTTCACGGAGAAGGGATTTATTGGAAGTTTAGAAAGTATTGGTCTCATTCAGATTCATGGGAACTCTTAAGGTGAACCTAGCATGTGGTTTTTTTGGCAAAGATTTCTCCAGAGAGGATTTATGGTTGCCTTTATCTGCGGCTGAGAGGGTCTAACTTGACCAAGGTCTTCAAGGCCCATGGTTTCGTTGCCTGAGCAGGGATTTGAATCCTGGTCTTCAGAGTTGTAGTCCAGTGCTCAAACCCCATCATGCTGGCTCCTGCCTAGAATGTGTAGTTTAGATGAGCAGCATTGATCAACTTTCCTAAACATTTTGGTCTCCAGATTTGTTTGGTCATGCTCCACATGGCCCTTCTGAATGGATTATGGGAGTTGTTGGCTTCTTAGCACAGCTGGAAAGTATCATGTTGAAAAAGGCTATCAACAGAGTTTCAGTTCCAGAAGCTCCAAGATCCATTGTTCTGCATTTGTAGATTTATGTGCCTGAAATTATGATCCAAAAAGTACAGCTGTAAATATATGTGAAGTATCTGTGGAAGAGTAGTGGGCATCCTTGAAAGCAAATGTGCGGACTCTGGGACATTGTGTTTATATATTCTTGAGCTAGAGAATATTGTGAAGTCTTGCCAAATGCCAGTAGGTGCACAGATTATATTCTCTGAATCATAATGTATAGCAGCTTGAATGCAGATGTCTAGTCCTTGTTGGTGCTGTGTGTCCCGAGGTCTCATAATTTAGCTCTTGCAGATAAGCCCTAGCAGGCAAAAAGAAAGTATATTAAAGGTTTGGTGAAACAGAATGCAAGATGTGAATTAGCATTAAGAAAAGGTGTCTGTTGCTGCAACAAATATACTGGAAGATAGATCTGATGGCTTTTAGACCACAGAATCTCAAAGACTTTTTAATGGGAGGAATGAGGAGAACAACTTACTTGAAAGTGTTACGTATTGGAACCTTATAAAGTGTGTTTGCATGTAAAGTTATTACAAGTATTATGCAGTGTGCTTAACTGATTTACAAGATACAGCATAAGAATGAGGCATGAAAGCACTCTTTTGCCGAAGAAGCCAATTTTCCCTCTTTAGTGCCTTGTCTTCTCAGGATTTAATTGAAAGCTTTTATGATCAGGACACCTGTCTGTATTTCCTCTTTATGTAGTGATGTGATCTGCAAAATAAAAACAACTTATTTTTAATGTGCCAATAGATTTTATGACAAAATCCTGGGCACATCTGCTTAATAGTAAGTCTACCCAAACATCGTTGTGTGCGTTTGTGTTGTGTATGTTAGTGTATGAATCTCACTTGCTCACTTCTAAGTAAGTGTGCATCTCTATTGTAGCCTTAATATTTGATGTGCTTGTAAACATTGATTCAGACCCAGAAGGCTTTTAAAAGCAGGTGAATTTGGAGAGATGCAGAACCAAAGTTTTTTCTTCAAAAATGTATTTAGTAAACTTTTCGGTACCTTATCTTCCAGTACATCAGTCTCAAGTAAATGAAAAAGGGTTAATTTGGGGGGGGGGATGGGGGACTCAAGCTTTTACTGATTTATTTTCTTGTGGTAGAGGAACTTGAAATCATTTTTGAAACTTTGGGTGCAAAGATGCTTATACCACATTTCCTCCCTTCTTCCCATCCTAGTATATGCCATAACACAGTATGTTCTATTGCTTAGCTTGTATACAGAAGGAGTAAGTATAAATTGATAAGGTGTATATTTTATCTGACTCCAAACTGGAATAGCTGAAAGGTACACTTTACCAAAATCTCTTCCAGTGTTAGAATGGAGGGGCTGATACTTTTTTTTGGTGATAATTGGTCTCACATTTTTAAAGAATGTTTTTTTTGTTATTTTTTAAAAAGGAAGAACTGCACCATGCTTTGATTATGAATTGTTACTACTGTTTTATAAATAAATGTAAAATATATATAATGGACTGGAACAGAGAGAAAAAATCATTAAAATTTATTTATTTATGATTGATTGATATATCTGCTTGTTTCTGGGATGGAGGGAGTGCAGAAATGTATTTCAACCACAATTTCATGCTATAGCACTTATATTATTTCCCCACAGTTTTAATGGTGAGAAGTCATCTACTCAATATAATTTAATTAAAGTGGTTCCTTTTGTCCATTCCTCAAATGATATCTACTTTCCATTTATTGCAAGAAGGATGTGGGGCAGAAAAGCGAGAATTACAAATGAATTATGAAAACTTTTTAGACAGAAATGAATAGTTACGTCCTTCCAACGATTGCAGTCCATATAACATTCAGGAAGGAAAATGTGGATGTGTAGATTTGTATGGATGTGGAGATTTTAAATATTTTTGGTAGGTGCTGGTCTTTGTTGCCACTACAGATGAACTTGCCCCCCTAACAAATCTTGAAGCTGGAAAGGATTTATGCACTTAAACAAATTGTGCTTGACGATTAAGAGCACAAGGTGGTGCTGTTGGCATGGCAATCCAGGAATTTATAACTCCCATGTCTCTGGTTTGTAGATGTAGGTTACCTTTCATGCACAAATGAATGGAACTTTCCCAAATCACATTTTTTTTACTGCATATAAAATCAGCATGCCATGATTTGACATTTTATGGCCTTTCAAAAAATCAAGGTAAAATATTGAGATTGCTTTACGTTTGTGTACAAATTGGCAATTTATAAAAAGATTTGCTATTCCTACCTTCCTTTAATTCTCACAAATCCCACTGAATTTTCATAGTTTCAGAATAGTGAATAGTAAAGAAATAAGTTAAATTGTGAATATTTAGCAATGGCAATGCAGGTTGGGCTCATTGAGTCTTTTTCTAGAAATTGTGGTTATTAATAAGGGATCTACATTAGTTAGGCTCTGCATAAAAATACCGTAAACGTACTTATTTCATATTGACAATACAT